ATAATTACTTAATAATTATATTTATTATTACTTATATATCTAATTAATTAGTTCAAGCTTAATTAATTCATAAATTTTAATTAAGTTTAAAATTTCAAAAAATTAACTATATTAATTCTAATTAAGTCCAAGTTATTATAAATTAAGTCCAAGGTTCTAATTAAGTTTAATTATTAAGTTCTAATTAATTAAGGTCATCAAGAATTAGTTAAATTCAAGTTGATCAAGTTCAAGTTCTAAATTCAAGTTCAAGTTTTAAGTTCAAGTTCAAGTTCAAGTTCTAAATTCAAGTTCATATCAAAGTTCTAAAATTAGTTATATTCATGTACTTCTAATTATAAGTTCAAGTTCTAAAAGTCAAGTTCATATATATCTAATTTCTAAACTTACTTATATATAAACTTCTAATCCAAGAATTAGTTATATTCAAGTTCTAAATTCAAATTCATATAATCTCTAAAATTAGTTATATTTAAACTTCTAATAAAAAATTATTTTTATTCAAGTTCTAATTAATTAATTAAATTCAAGTTCATATAATTTTTAAATTAGTTATATATAAACTTTTAATCCAAGAATTAGTTATATTCATGTTCAAATTCAACATTCATATCTAATCTAAAAAATTAGTTATATATAAACTTCTAATCCAACAATTACTTATATATATTCAAGTTATAATTAAAAAAATACTTATATATTCATGACATTCAAACATTCATCCAATATATTCATGGCATTTAAACAATCAAACTTCATCAATATCTAACTTCTAAATTCAAATTAACAATTTACTAATTACTAACAATCATCAAATTTTAAAAAATCCCAATTCACAATCAAATTTAAGATTTTTCAAATTCAAACTAGTACCCAAATCCTAAAAACCCTAATTCATTAACTATCAAACACAATCAATCATTCAATAAAACACAAATCCAATAAACTAATTAACATAATCAAATATAACTAAAATTGAAAAAATTTAAAACTAATTTGATAAAATCCTAACCTTAAATAAATGGAGAAAGAGACAATGGAGAGAGGAAGCAACGACAACAGCAGCAATTCCGGCAGCGGCGGTGGGAAGCGACGGCGGCAGAATCTTTGGAGAGAAGGAAGAGAGGGAAAATGGGGAAAATCGCATCTGATATTTCAGATATTTAATGAAAAGCGACGGACAACGTCTCCCCATCTGTCGCTTTTCTTTTAAAATGTTGACCAACATTTTGACCAAAAAGCGATGGACAAAGAGACACTGTCCGTCGCTTTTTTTAAAATAGTTGACCGTATATTTTGACTAAAAGTGACGGACATAAAGATGCCGTCCGTCGCTATAATAAAAAAATTAAGTAATAAAATAAAATAAATATAAAGCGACGGACAACGTCGTTAATATTTTAATTAATATATAATTATTTTTTATAAAAGTGACGGACGACGTCGCTAGATATATTAAATAAATAATTATTATCTTTTTGGTTCAGCTCGGCAGTCAACAATATATCAAAAGTTGATTAGAGTTCAACAAAAAAATTGAGTTTCTAGAGAATACAATATAATATGGCACTACACTATATAAATATTTGGTTTATCTATGTCATTTTCGTTTGAGAAAAGGTTCATTCATGTCATTATTTACTAACTTAAATGACATAGATGAACCAAACTTTTAATGGATGACATAGATGAGCTTTTTCTCAAAGTTCGATGACATATTTGAGTTTTTTCCCTTTTAAAAAATGATTTAATTAATGACATGGCTGAATCATGATTAACCACGTGTAAAAATGATTTTGCAAAATCAAAAATATCTTTAGTTTAAAAATAATGGCATATATAAGCCTTTTCTCAAACGAAAGTGACATAGATGAGCCGAACTTTTAACAGATGACATAGATGAGCCTTTTCTCAAAGTTAGATAGTATATTTGAGCTTTTCTCCTAATATTAGTGAGTTCAAAAATATGTGGGAGATGACATATTTCTTACCAAATTTGGCGAGTCATTTTCAAACTTTATCCTTTTGAGCAAGTGCAGAGCTAAGTGGGGGTTCGAACGAACTAGTACTTTTTTCATAGATTCTATAGTAATATTAGAAAATTAAATAAATATACATGTGTATTAACTTGTGAATCCTCAACAAAATTGATTGAGGATTTAATGGATGTTTCTTAAGTCACTTTAATCAAAACTTTCAGAATTTGAATTGAATAAGTGTCGTTCGTCTATACATGAACTTGGAACAAATGAAAAAAAAGTGTAATGGAAAGGAAAAATCATCATATTCCTTGTGTTTCAAGGAAATAATATAAGAGTATTTTTTTAAAGGAAAAAGAAGAGAAGGCATATAAGCTGTTTTTTATTTAATTTGGAATGAATGCTAAAACTATGGTTTACGTGATGATTAGATGTTGTAGGGGTGTTCACAAAAAATTAAAAAATAAATAAATTATAAGTATAATGTGTGCGTGTACGTGTGTGCGTGATTATAAATTTCTTAAAAATAATAATAACACATATATTATCTTTTTTCAACTCTTGATTCGAAATCTAGATGTTCCTCTTTAATTATTCACTTCTTTACATTTACTTTTAACTTTCTGGTATGATTTATAGTCTTTAATTAGATAAGTTCAGTAACTTATTTTATGTTTAAAATAACTTCTCTTTAAGTCTTTTGGTTATTCATTATTATTTAATTTAACTATCGTCAAGATATTTGAATAAATCTCAACATTTTAATTATTTTTTTGCACAAAAAAGTTAATTTTATTCGAAAAGTTTTGTAAGTTCTTTTGAAATGATTAAATTCTTAGATAATGCATATAATTTTCAAGAAAAAGCTACACACATAACTTGATTACATATATATTCTCTTCTTCGAAATTTGTAATTGACTTAGTAGTGCTACGCTTAAATATAGTCAATTTAAAATATGCTTAGAAGTATCTTTCACATATTTAAAAGAAAATGACAAGCAATTAATTATTTTTTTTGACAAAACTAACAAAAATTGAAGTGATAAAAATCAACATAATTGATTTGATATTGGCCAATATTTAAGAAAACCAACTTAATTGGTTTGAATTCATTTTTAGATTATTTGGAATATCTAAAAACAACAGCAATTATTTACGCTTATGTTTGTATTAATATAAGTCATCATCAATTCATCATTAGCTTGTATCGTACATCTTAAAATTAAGCAAAAAGTTCTTAAGTGTAAAATATATGTTTTGATAATAATAGAACAAACCATAATACTGATGAAGTTACAAGCTAATTATTAATGAGATACATAATTCTTGGGTTAATACCTCGTATGGTCACTCAACTATCCAATTTTGCCTCAGAAAGTCACTCAACTTTTAATTTTCACTAAAAAGTCACCATGTGAGTGACTTTCTGAGGAAAGACTGGATAGTTGAGTGGCCATCTGAGGTATTAACCCCATAATTCTTCACTGAGGAAGTTTGTTAAGCTTACAATAGACATAATCTTTGTACTTCTTGGTCTTGAATTTGGGTGGGTTGGCCTCATTAATTAACTTAGGGATTGGTCCAACTTCATGCTCTGATGAGGGCTCCAAGAAAACAGGCCATGACATTCTTGTCTTGTACTTGTTCACTGTTGTCCTATGATACACACTCTTATATTTCCCATTGCTAAGAATCTGTTCAACCATTAATCACTCATTTTTAGAAATAGAAGCATACAAATAGAGAGAGAGAGAATGATATAGGGCAGGGGGGGAGCTAGAAGCGTGTATATGTGTTTGAACAAACCTAACTTTTTTCTCAAATGTGGATTTGTGTTAAGAAATTCATTAAATATGTACAAATATAAAATTTAGAATATACTAGTTATTAATTACCACTCTAAAATCTAGAACCCATAAATTGAAATCCTAACTCCTCCTGTATAATACAGAATTTGCCGAATACCAATAATAATAACTAGGGTATTTCAATTTTAGGGAAAACAATATACACAAATTGAACTCACTAGGTTCGGACCATATCCAATATATTTACCCTTATTAGACCAACTATCCAAATATTTTATGTGACTGCCTCCTTATTCTATTCACTGAACCATTACTTCTATATTCTCGATACCAGCAAAGTATATATATACTTTGATGGTATCTATATATCTAATGGTATCAAGCAGTAATTGAGCAGTCTTTCCACTGAACACTATATGTTCCTCCTTGATGTCATCAGAGTATATATACTCTAATGGTATCAGGGAGTAATTGAGTAGTGTTTTCACTGAAGCACTGCTTCTTCCTTTTTTGATACCATCATAGTATATATATACTTTGATGGTATCAAAATATCTAATGGTATCAAGCAGTAATTGAGCAGTCTTTCCACTGAACACTATATGTTCCTCCTTGATGTCATCAGAGTATATATACTCTAATGGTATCAGGGAGTAATTGAGTAGTGTTTTCACTGAAGCACTGCTTCTTCCTTTTTTGATACCATCATAGTATATATATACTTTGATGGTATCAAAGGGCGAGGTGGGGTGGGGGGGGGGGGGGGGGGGGGGTAAAAGTAAAGAGATAACCGCTTGTAAATATGAGTTACAAGTATTTTTTCACTAAATTTTATTATCAATAATCTTACTACGGCCTGATTCCCAAGCAAAATTGAAGTCGACTACATGAATACTTGGTGATGGTCCAATTAATTTTGGGGTATGGGAAATCCAAGTAGTTCAATGCACCCAAAATGATAGAATGATCAACAAGAAGGCAATAGGAGATATACCTCAACTTGGTCACCAATGTGGACAATTATAGCATTTGGTATGTAGTTGACATCATACCAATGACCATCCTTAAACACTTGGAGTCCTTGGACTTCATTTGGGACAAGAAGGGTGATATATGACATATCTGTATGGGCCACAACTCCAAGAGCCAAATCAGGCCTTGGGCATGGTGGATAATAATTGATCTTTAACATGTAAACTATGTCTTCACTACCAGCTGCCTCCATCATTTCATGGCCTTCCAAACCAAGCCCAAGTGACAAGCTCCTAAATATACCATCAGCAACTTTTCGCAGCCACTTTGCGTATTCCTCATTTGCTTCCCTAAACAAACGAAAAAAAAGAGTTAGTTTAACATTTACCAATTGAAAAGGTAAATATCTAATGATCATATGACGTTTGTGATCTTCGTTTTATATATATATATATATATGTTATTTTTTGATTATTTGTATTTGTATACATATTTAAAACTACAATATGTGTAAACACAAATGATTCATTCGATTTCACTATTATTGACCGTCTTTTTTATTTTAAAAGTAGATGATTTATTTGTTTAAAATTGAAATTAAATTGACTTTTGTGAGTGATCAATATATTTTAATGAGTTATGTATCTTCAAATAATTCAAGTGAGAAAATAGCAAACATGACTACAAATTTGTTCTTTTCCTAACTAGTTAGAAGGCCATAAAAAATAATAGTATCCGGAAGTTATCTAACTTGATCCAATTATATAAAATAAAAATATCATAATAATTCAAAGGTGTATAATTCGAAAGAAGTTTTTTGTAGGATTTTAAACCAAACACAAAATTAGGTAGGAAGTAATAAATCAAACACGATAAAAAATAATTTCTACATTAATCCTTATGTTACTAATCTTTGTACCAAACGATCCTAGGGAATGAATCAATAAACTCCCCTGGAGTCGGAAAAATAACAAATGAAGCCCCAATTGATAGAACGTTCTACTACTGACACTTGAAAAAACAGCTTTCAAGGACACTGTGATTAATGCAGGAATCTAAGTGTGGTAGTTGAGTATATAGACAAAAGGAGTATTGAGAAAAATGAAATTAGTTACTTTTCGTTCATATAGTAGTATATAATTAACTTAGAATATTATTATTTATATTCAACCACAAGCATCTAACATGGATCCAGCTCCTTTCTACTTATCTTACGCAATTCATTTTCAAAATCTTGCTTGGATTGAAGATATGCATAGATTAAAATATATTGGTAACATTTAATTGACTAAAGCAAAATCCTAATTACAATTTAAATAATTAATCTTTCATATATTTGCTTCCAAAATATTTTTTAATCCCACAAACACTACATATTATTTTTTAGACATTCTCTTCGTACTTTTATTTTCCTGCTCCTCTATGTTATCTTTCCTAGAGTCTATTTTTCAATTTCTTTTTGAGTTAAAATTTTGAAAAAGGAGGAAAAAAAGTTTAAAAATTGTTAGTAAAAATAAGTTCAACATTGATCTAGGGAAAAAGATGTTGTCTAAATCATGCTTAGCATTAGGGGCGTACAAAACCGAATCGAAAATCGAACCAAACCACAAATCGAGTCAATTCGGAAAAAAAACCCGACTAGTGGTTTGGTTTGGTTTTTAAAAAAAAAATCTAACTATATTTGGGTTGGTTTGGTTTTAACTAAAAAAAACCAACCCGAGATCAAACCAACCCGAATTTATATATATAATTTTAAAATTTTATTTTATACATAAAAATATTTACTTTGATATAATTTTTAAATATTTTTATTACTTTTCCATAGTTTTTATCTTTTAATATATTATTTCAAGTGTGAAACTTAGAATTATGAATGGACCAATAAAAATTATAGTTCACAGATGTTGGTAATTATAATAAAGCTTAAATCAAAATCAAATTAATACTAATGCAAAAAGAAAATCAATTCAACACTAAGAATGACAATAATATTGAATATTTGTTCTTTAGTTTTACATTGGTTTAGACAATTAAAATACATAATCCAATTTTAATTTTCTTTAATATTTAGTCATGTAACTAATACTTATTAAACTTAATTTTTAGCACGATTTAATACTTTTAAATTATGATCATTTTCATTATGACTTGTTAATTTGTCAATATTTGTTTTACGTCGATTTCATTATTATTATTTTTTGTTTGGGATATTTTTAGTTGTCATTAATCATATCATATTGTGTTATATTTTTAAGTAAACATCTTAGATAGTTGTATTTTGTTAGGACTAAAGAAATATTTGAAGTACAAGTAAATTATATGTTGTGTATGAATACTTTACTGGAAAAACCGAAAAACCGAAAAACCCGAAAAAACCCAAAAAAACCCGAGGTTTAAAAACCCGAGTTTTTATTGGTTTGGTTTGATTTATAAATTTAAAAATCCGATACAAATGGTTTGATTTGATATTTGAAAAACCCGAACCAACCCTGCCATGTACACCCCTACTTAGCATAAATATTAAAGAAGGAAACTATATTAAGTGATGAAGATCTGCAAGACTTGGTCAGTGAGAACACTTTTCTATTGAAAAAACAAAAGAAATTTAGTCACTGCGAGAAATTCAACATATGTAATTTCTTTTAATTAGTTGGCCGATGTCTATACGATTGATTTATATATATGTGATTTTTGATTATCTGAATTTTTATTTTATTAATTATAAGGGTTCGATTCATCATCTCATAACTTTTTTTTCCATATATGTTTCCTTTTCCTACCGTGACTTCCTTGTGAATATATAACGTAAATACTCCAAGTGACATCGGACGTATTCTATCTTAGCTTGCAAACAAAAAGAATTTGCGGCTTAAAACAAATCATGACAACACTATCATGACAACCATGAAAATTGTTGGACGCATGCATATATCTCTTAGTCTCACATCATAAATAAATTTTCATTATTATTAATGTATTTTAATATGTTGTAATAGGTAATCTATTATTCTTTTACCACTAATCTCATATTCTAGGTATAATAGTAGATCAAGGTATACAAGCCAGGGCAGAGCCAGATTGTGGTCAGGTGTTCATCTAGTGCGGGAGTAAAAAATTTCATGAAGGGTGTCTAGAAATTGCACAACAAAAGTCTTTTTTTATAAAAATTAAAAAATGTTACTAGTGAATTTGAACACACAAGCACCGACTCATTCAAGGTATCTGAAATCCATCAAAGGGATCTGAAATCACTAGGCTACAACAACCTATATTATATCAAGGCTACAACAACCTATACTATATCAAGGCTACAACAACCTGTTATATATTAAAGATGTCTAAAATATGTTATATCATTTTACTTGTATATGTGCCTCCGCCCTTGGTTCATCTGAACCATTTTAGCTAGTTTGTATGTTTACCTATCTAGATTTTAAACTTTTTAGTAAAAGTCTTGATTCCGCCATTAATACGAGTTATTAATATTGTGAATAAACAAAAAAGATGAGTGATATTAGAGAGAGACAAAACCTGTAGGAAGGAGGATTTTTAGGCCAATAACGATAGTTAATGGCAGAAGGAGGCCAAATCTTATGAAACAAATGATCAACCCAACCTTTTTTCCCTTCAATTTCCTTCTGCAAAGAAGTACCATATCCTTCTAAACTTTGTGCCCCTGGCTTCTTTGCAATCAATTCTTTTTCCTCTTGTGGCACTTCCTCAAAAAACTCTTTTCCAACTTTTTGCAAATTCTCAATAACTTCATCAGGTATCCCATGATTTATCACTTGAAAAATACCCCACTCTTTACTAGCCTCAACTATTTCTTTCACTAACTTTTCTTCGTCGTCATCGACATTACTTATGTCGATGACTGGTACCTCAAGTACCACTCCCTGCAGCGTTGTCGCTGCAGGTTGTTCGTTCTCTGAACGAATATATTCTGATGGTATTGTGTCCATGCATTTCGTTATCGACGATATTGCTTGGACCCTTGCCACCTCCATCGTCAAGGCTGTTGTTGCACTCTGACCTTGAATTGTTTTCATTCTTTCTTTTTCCTCTTCCCTATTGCATGCAAATTTTGTTTCCTTTTTATAGGAAAGTGACGCGGTGTGTATTTTTACTTTTTCTCATTTTCAAACCTATTTTTTGCCTTTAATTAACACTAATAGGGGATCTTTTTCTTTTTTGCTTTCTTGTGGGTGAGTTACGTGGATTATTGTGGTTCACTTATACCACCTACTCAACTTAACTTATTAGTAGTATTTGTTTTGTGAATTGTGAAAATCTGTAATGAAAATTAATTATTTTTAAAAAAAAATTATATTCTTAAATTAAAGATAAGTAGAATATATTAAAAGTTTAAGATATGTCATCCGTTAAAACTTTAATCCAAGAAAACCCCAATTGAAAAGTGTTAAAAGTTCTTTGGGGTCTTATTCAGGTAAAAAATATTAATTTTGCAAAATTGAAATTAGAAAATAATGGCATGGATAAGCGTTTTCTTAAACGGCAATGACATAAATTAGCCAAACTTTTAATGAATGACATAAACGAATCTTTTCTTAAAGTTCGATGACATATTTGAGTCTTTTTCCAATAAAAAATTAAAAAATTGTCTGAAAAGGGAAAAAAATAATTATTTTTTAAAGTAATTAAAAAAGAAATATCGGATAAAACTATAAAAATGAAAAAGTACATTGGTGTAATTATGATGGAAAATTGACACTTGGTGTTGTAATTGCCACTCCTTCAACCTACCTACAATTATCTTACAAAATAAAAGAAGGTTTTAGCCTGAGCCACTCCTTCTAACAACCCAAGTCCGGATGACTTGCCTAACTTCAACTTTTCTTTTTATTTTCGTATCTAATAGTTAATTAGAGTATGATTAAATTTGAATTCGTATTAAAATATCCTATATTAAAAGGTAAAATAATTTCTAAAAAGGTGATTCTAGAAAGACTCAAACATGATTTTTTTTTATTAAGAATAAAAACACTTATCACAGTACCAAAACTTGGTAAACTTCAACTTAAAATCAGAGCTCTCAATTGATATTTTCTATGTATAATAATAGTTCAACTTTTTGTTTGGGGCCCTAACATATCCAAAACTATTCAAAATAAGTACTCTTTCAGACTCCTTCATTTTCATTCTTTACAATTTTTTCCAAGTTTCTGCTTTGATTGATAACAAATAGCATAAGTTAAATATAATAATTAAAATTTAGTCAATCAAAGTAAATCTTTAATCATGATTTGAATAATAAATATATTATATTAATTTGATTTCAAAAGTTATTTTGATCCCACAACTTTAATAATCATGCGATTCATGTGGAAAATTGGTTTTACAAAAGATTTGTTCATATAGAAAATTGTTGTAAATTTAAGGCAGGAAAGATTTTAAAATCTTTCTCTTGAAAATATGCATATGCTCTTGGATGAGTACTTATTTAAAGGATTGGTATGCTTTACTTTAACAACTTTTTAAAGCAATTTAATGTAAGAGTAGGAAAATAATATACTATGGGTGACATATTTAAAACTTCACATTGACGTTTCTTATTGTTCAGCATTTATATATTAAAAAATTATGTGTTGCGTAATTAATTTCTTTTCACCATAGCTAAGCTAATGTGTTTGCAAAAATTAAAACCATCTTACTATATATATATTTAGAAATAGTAACGTGTACCTAATATGTAAGGTACTGGAAGGGGATAAAGGCTATATGTCATCGTTTTTATTTATTAAAATAGTACTCTGTGTTTATACTACTTATTTTTAATATATTATTATATGTCTTACACATTCAACTCTCATCCCCCACCTAACCCAAAAAACAAATTAAATATCATTGATCCATTTTTTGTTTGTTTGAAGCAACGGTTAGTAAGAAGGATATTTTTAAACTATTTTACCAGTTGAAGAATATTTAAGCCAAAAATATAATGATACGGATATTTTTTTAACCAAAAACATAATGGAAAATAAAACTGACCAATTTTGAAAAAATTAGGAGTATATTTGACACTTCTCTTCGAAAAAAAAGAAGTTGAACTATTATACATAGAAAATATCAATTCATACTGAATTTTTAAATTATAAATGAATAATTTATACATATTAAATAAATTTCATATATATATATAGGATTTAAAACAAAATTGTTAGGTTCTATTAAACCCAATTCCTACGCTCTAGCTCCACCCCCAAACATAAAGCTCTATGTAGAACAAAAACATGAAAAATGTGGCAATCCCGATTTTATTTTATTATTGTTATTTTAATTAATTGTAGGCAAGATAATAAAAGGTAATAATATGATAATAAAGATAAATGAGAAATCATATATGTTTGTAATCAAAGATTTATTTCATGTCATATGATCGGTTGCTCAATTCTATAGCTAAACCATGCATGCATGGTCACACATGATAACACGTGACCTGTTGTTTTGTTTTCTCAATTGGGGCAAATCTTTGAATTTTATAGCATAATTCCATAATGTGTAATGTTTTTTATACAGTAAAATAACAAATCTTAAAGTCTTCTTAGAATTTAATTGGTATATATATTAGGATCCAATGAACCAGACCAAAAATGATGAGTTAAACTAAGTACAGGCAATCTATTAGACACACTGTCAATATTATTAGATATTTACATTTCTTTAATTTAACTTTAAAAGAGAAAAATATACTTCACGCCTCAAATCTCTCTGAAAAGCCTTCTTGATGCAATGATAAATGGGTAGTAATAATATTCAAGGGTAATCTCAAAATAGGGAGATTATTAGATATTTCGATTTAATATATAATAGAATCACAATCACATATTTATGAATATATGTATATATATATCATTAATCTAAAAAACATGGTGGGTTTAATTCTAAGTATATTCTTATATTATTTTTATTATTTAAACATATTAGAATCGATAAATATTTTATACATAGAAAATACATAAAACATTAAAACAAGTTTTCATATTCATATTTGTATAGAAAATACATATAAAATACATTAGAATTCAAAAGGCTGATTGCATAATATATTAGAACAATACATAAAAAAAAAAGTATAATACTTAAAAAGTACAACTAAAATATATCAAAAAAGTATTACATGAAATTTAATAAATGTAACAAATTATGTAATTTTTCAATATAAAAATAAAAATAAGACGCCACGAATTAATCTCAAACGGTTGATTATTTTCTCATTTTAGTTTAGATTTTCTTTCAACATAGCTCTCTCATGTAAATTGTTCCTTAACAAGGACCTACACAAATTTCTACCATCTTCAACTTTATTCACGATAGACTACATACTAAACCTCGCATTGTGTAAAGTAATTATAACTTCATCAATTGCGGGCCTTTTCTTTGTCGAAAATTATTTTCCCAACAAGAATAGTTGCATCACTACTTCTTACTACATTAACAAATATAAATTCAGTATTGGAAATTAAATATGTAATCTACATGTTTTTTGCTATAAAATATTAACACAAATTTTACTTTCGAATTTCGGAACCCCAAAATTTACGGTCAGAATTTTCAAGAGCCTTTAATGTCTTGATCCTATAATGCACAAATAAATATTGAATTGTATACAAAAAATTGAGCTTTCGATCAAACTCTTGAGGACATGCCTAATTTTCAACAAAATATAGAGGAAAAATAAAAAATTGAAGATGAAGAAAATAAAGTAGGGCAAAAATGGAGTATGTCCTAATTTTAATAACTCATATTGCACTATATTTTAATGCGCTATATGAGTCCGTAAACTTTAACGACAGTTAAAATCTTATTTGTCTATGTAGAATATATAACACATTAATAGAAAAAGCACCCCACATATATACTTAAGGGGCAATATTACAGGTTTTAAATCCACTTTTAATATTACATTATAACATTTTAATTTCAAGTTATAACACATCATTTTTTATTTCTAAATTAATTAAATTCTATTTTATTAAATAATTAATCTTTTATAATTATATTTTAATTAATAGGTGATATAAATAAAAATTAATAAGAGAGAATCAATCATAATTATCTATTACCCCTTTTTAGGAATTTTTTTTACCTTTCACACGTATATCACGTTGATTCTAGGTACTTTTTACCGTCACACGTCAACCCCCACCCCTCGACCACCACATTTCCCTCTTTCTCACATGCCAAAACAGCACCCCACCACCCCCACGTTCAAATCACATCTTCATTCTTTTTCTTAGAAATCGTAAATCCCCTCTCTCTTACCATAATCAGTAGTCATCATAGTACACTCAAAAGAAAGGCCAAATCTTCTTCACAATACTAAGAATTAAGATTTTAGGATTTTCGAAAAAATATGTCGAAGAATCAAAAACATGTGCATACACCTAGAAAGAGCCCCAAATTAGTAGAAGCGAGTTCTAATATTGAAATTGAGGCTCCATCTTTTAACATCTTGACTCAAACGCTGCTGACCAACAAGAATGCAAATCCGGCGAACAAGAATGTTACCCCTCACAAGAAGAAACAAAGCCCGGTAAAGGAGAAGAAAAGAGAATCAAAGAAAATTGCAACTCCTCCAAATCGAAAAGGATAAAAGAGAAAAGGGAAAATGGTGGAACCTCCTTCCTCGGAGTAATAATTGATTGCAGCTTAGACTTTTAATTATTACATGTTTTTTTTTTTTTTGGATGATGTATATTTGTTTTTGCTACAATTTTTGACAACAATATAATATGCACTGTTTTACATTGTCAGATTTATTCTTCCCAGATTTATACCAGTTGGATACCAATTTCATAAATTTTTATTTTTAATCTTGTCTTAAATTTTCAAGTTGGATGTCTAGTGTATACAAATTGGATATTAGCATTAGAGAAAGATTTATATTGTATTTTTAGGTTTGAAAAACACCTCATAAACATAGTATACAACAACTGTATACATTGTTACCCTTAAGTTTTCCAAATGGATATTAATTGAATACCATGCATTAACTTATTTTATGTTCGCTATTTTGTAGAAATCTCAATTACATATTGTTGTTTCTATTTTTTCAATGGGATATCA